AAAAAAAAAAAAAAAAAAAAAAAAAACTTGGTTGACAAAAAATAAAATAAAGTCGATCGTGTTGTGGTGAAGCAAAATTTGGTAGATGGTATTTCATATTATAATTAAATATATAAAAACAAAAAATTTATATTTTTCTATTAAAAAGGATTAATATCAAAATTGAGGCATTAATTAGGATTAAGAATTTGATGATGATGTAAGAGGAGTCACAAGCATTAAAACATACCTAAAATATGTAAATTATAAAATCATTGACTTTGTGGATAATAATTAAATATAAATTACATTAATAATACCCATTTGAGTGCTATAATTTTGTCACCCCATAATCATTTCCCATCCCATTAATCACTATTTAATTCTACCTAATATTATTGCCTTTTTAAATATATGATCCAATAATTTCATTGATTTGATATTTATTTATTTTTTTATTTATTTATTTATTTATTTTTATTTTTCTAAGTTATACGAACCATAATCATGCTCGACAATGATGATTAGTGTACATCTATGTTTGAAATAAGAAATTATTAAAAAATAAAAAATAAAAAATAAAAGAATTAAATTAATTTTTTCATTTTAAATTAATTTTTTTTAAAAAAATTTATTGACGTGAATTAAAAAATTTATATCTAAATAAAATTTAAAATTTAGAGATTTATTTAATATTTTAACTTGAGATTCATGCTAATATCACTCGTATGAAGTGTTTTTATATACCAAACACCATATTATTTCTACTTATGAATTTCTTTGTTTGTTTTTAATTTTCAAAAATCATACAAAAAATATATTTTTATTTTTTTATTTTTGGTATTTGATTAAAAATTTAATGTCTAAAAAAATAATAATTATTAAAAAAAAAACAAACAAACATCTCTCCCACAAATCAAATCAAATCTAAGATTTGGATTATTTTTCTTTCTTTATACAAAAATATTAGATAAATACAAATTTCATCTAGTAATATTAAAAAAAAAAAAAAACCATAATTTTGTTTTTAAATTTTCGAGTATACTAACTCAGTGAGAGAGAAAATTTGTAATTGGGATTGGAGTTGCTTACATAACGAACCTAGCTACTTAGAGTATTTGGAAAGTTTAAGGTTAAATAATTTAATGTTAAGAATCTGGGTGAGTCGTGTATTTGATTGGATGGATGGTGTTTTGATATTTTCCTATACGAAGATTCGGGCACGAGGAGTCGAGTTGTTTAATGTGGAATGATGATGAAATGAGGGGCTAATAATGAAGTAAAATGGTAGATGTTGATGTGTAAAAAGAAGTGTTGGAGATGGTGGTGGGGTTTGAGCTTTTTAGAAAGACATAATGGTGGGAGAAGATAGGAATCCCACCATGGTTGCTCCAAAAAGCAAGCAAACAAACAAACCTATGGCACCAACCAATCGCCTAGGAATCATATCTTAAACCATTTTCATGTTCTTTTCTTTACTTTTACATGAAATCTCATCACTACCTTGCTTGCTGCTTTTCACTCTCAATTCTCATCATATTGGGTGGAGTAAGTCTAAAGGTTTTTGTTTTTTTTTTTTAAAGGACATGAATTATGTACGCCCGGGTCGTTGAAATATATATATACACTCTATGCACGAAAAAGAAAAGCAAATAATTATTGTTAGAGAGCTGCTTTGAGAAAGCAACTAAGTTATATATGTGAAGTTCGGATGAAAACGTGCTTTGTGTATAGTGATCTTAATCTAATGGTTTGTGTAGTTGCAAGCCATTTATTTCAACGACATGTGAAATGAGAGATGAGGTGCATTTTGATAAAATAATGTGATGATCAGTGGATAGAGATGTGTGAAAGTTGAAAGTGACTGAATAAGAAGAAATCACGAGGTATTACGTTTGAATTAAATTAAAAAGACGAAAAGAGAGAGAAGAAATTAATGGGGGAACAAAGTTTGGTACAATCAATCAATGTAGAAAATGCATCTTATTGATTATGGAGCATTGGAGTTGGTACCATTTGGCTATGAACACTCATTATTTGGCATTTGAATTCACAACCCACTTGTATTTCTATTCTCTAATACTCAATGAACTCACAATTCCATCAATCTTTCTCTATTCAATTCCCATTTCTTTCCAACCGTTTCCCTCTTTTCTTAGTTGTTTACGAGTCTATCGATCGTATAAAGAGGGAAAAGGCGAGTTTATAGAAAAGTGTCTATGTGTAGAGTATCAAAGTTTCTCATAAAAGGACGTCTATTTGAGAAGAATTGGAAATGACTTAGGGGGGTATGGTGTCAACTCTCCATCACCATTGGGCTCAGTGGCCTAAGCAAACTACCCTATAGTACATATGTGTGTCATAGCGTGGGCGAACGTTCTAAGACAAGTGACTCGTTTATACACTTTGGCGAGGGAGGGAAGGGAAATCGGTAACTTAGGGTGTAAAAAGAGGAAAAACATGAGTAAAGGGGAGTTTGGAAAGTAAGAAAAAAAGTGAGATCTGAGAGAATTGATACTCATCTCTGATTTTCACTCATTACATCTCAGCTAAAGAAAAGGAGAGTGATTGGGATGATGAATGAAGAAGACAGGCAGAGTAGGAGCAGGCCTGACAACCCCAACTTATGATGTCTCTCATTAATCTACCAAACAAAAACTCCTTTTCCTTTTCCTTTTTCTGCTTCACATCTATCTCCAACTTACTGCCTAATAATGGACCCAACCATTCTTACATCACTTCATCACTCTTTAAATCTTCAAACTCTCATCACTTCATACATACTATGAACTAACTGTCTGCACAAGCTCTAAAATACAAGCTCAAGAAACCTTTCAACAATCTAAGCAAAGTATTTTCACAGTAATGCACATTTATTCACAAGGTTTTGGCTCAGATAAGCTAGGATGTTGTAGATATAACTGCAAGCTTAGAGGTTGGCTGTTCATGGACTTGATGGGGTGCTTACTCCTAGTTGATGCCAATGCTTGGTATTCGTTTTGAACTCTCCATAACAGTCGCCAAAGTCCACTACTAGTAAATAATGTTTCGTTTTTAAAACGTCTGCTAGGGAGAGATTTTCATACCCTTATAAAGAATGTTTTGTTCCCTCTCCAACTGATGTGGGATCTCACAATCCTTTGAGAGCCTAGCATCCTCACTGACACACCGTCTAATGTCTGGCTCTGATACCATTTGTAACAGTCCAAACCCTCCGCTAGTAAATATTGTCCACTTTGGCTCGTTACAAATCGTCGTTAACCTCACGGTTTTAAAACGTGTCTACTAAAAAGAGGTTTCTACACCTTTGTAAAAAATTCGTAAAAGAACGAGACCAACCGAGCCAAATTTAATCTTTACGTCTAATACTTACAACTACAGAACCCAATAGTTTCCTTCACTGGTTCCAATCAGAAACAACGCTCACTTTTCCTAAAACCAAGCAAGAAGTAGCCATGTGAAAGAAACAATCCACCGTTCAAGGTTGCCTTTGACAAAAGGACTTGGTATCAATTCTAAATGGCACATGGGTAGACAAGAAATTTAGGACCATCTTTAGCAGATAGAGGACAAGAATAGAAGTGAATGGTCGACCTTTTGGATGAAAGACAGTAGCCCTGAAACAGTTGAGTGGATGTAATCCTGCAGCTCAGGATGATGAGCTTTCTGCACAACCGCATTCATCAACCATCTTTTTTCAAAAGCATCTTCATATAAACCCCACCAATAATTACTCACAATTCCTATCTTTTCCATCTTTTCTTTATTTCATTAGTATCGGCATCCTTTCCCAGAAATAAAGCAGTAAATAGGATCTTAGGCAAAGAGACTAAAGAAAGAATTGCACCCAGAAGGGTAAATTCGTTTGAGGAAGACAATTGATGTAATGGCCACCTCCAAGAATTCAACTAGAATCTGAACAGTCTCCCCTGGACCTACTTTTACTCATAGCATCAAGTAACTAAAGTGTGAGATCCCACATCGATTGGAGAGGAGAATGAATCATTATTTCTAAGGGTGTGGAAACCTTGAGTAAATCTAAAGAGGACAATACCTACTAGCAGTGGATTTGGGCCGTTACAAATGCTATCAGAGCCAGACACTGGGCGATGTGCAAGCGAGGAGACTGAGTCCTGAAGGAGGTTGGACACGAAGCGATGTGCCAGCAAGGACGCTGGGCCTCGAAGGGGGATGGATTGAGGGATCCCCCATTGATTGAAGAAGGGAACGAGTGCCAGCGAAGACATTGGGCCCCAAAGGGGGTGGATTGTGAGATCCCACCTCAGTTGTGGAGGAGAACAAAGCATTCTTTATAAGGGTATGAAAACTTTTCCCTAACCGACACATTTTAAAAACCTTGAGGGAAACTCCGAAAAGAAAAGTTCAAAGAGGACAAGAAGTCTGAAAGGAAAAGCTCAAAGAGGACACTCTAAAGACAATATCTGCTAGCGGTAGGTTTCGGCTGTTGCATAAAGCAACGGGGCTGGAACAAATAAGGAAAAACCTTGAGGTGATACTTCATTGTCTCTTGAGTCCATTGGCTAGATAAGATGCCAAGTGATATGGTCTTTAAGCTAGACGATCAAATTTTCAACATAAACATGTAAGCCAATTACATAAACGGTCTGAAGCACACTTCAGTCCATTTGACAGCTCCTTATCTTCAAGCAAGTTACATGAGTGTCAAAGATGATACTACATTTCGAATGTTTGGTTAAGAACCTCCATGCGACCATGCCTAAGTGCAACGGTTTGCTGCAGCGCCAGTGCCCATTAGGATGTTCTTAACAAATATTAAGAGAATACACAATTCACAGACTTGCTCAACTGTTCATCATAATTCCAATGCTTCTAAATCCTTTCATTGCCCATCTCTTAACATCTTGTAAACTCACCGAGAGTATACCAGATGAACGTCCTGGAAGCTAAATCCTTTTCCAATTTTGAGTATCAATAAAAATCTAAAAAATAAGAATGACCCAATAAAATGCTAGTAACAATCTTCTATGAAACAGCCAATCTAAAGCAAAATGAACAATGAACAGATGTCACAGAAGAAAACTCGGAAGATTTCTTTTCCTTTTTTTATCGTTTCTTCATGAATTTAGGATGGGGAAGAAAGCTTACAAGTGTTGAAACTTACAAGACCATGGGTCGTATTTCATTAAGCTCCTGCCCTGATGTCTAGAGATGGATGCTTGGGCTGGCAAAGTGATCGTCCGGCTTCATAATCTGTAAAAGCTGCGTGCCCTTTTCAGTGTTGAAATCGGGTTTGATTCGGTTCTCCATTCATGTCCTCGGTTCAAAAATGGAAAACCGAACTTCATTCTATTTGGTTCGACTTTTTATGTTAAAGAAAAAAACCAAATAACCGAACCGAGTATTTTAAATTTAGGGACCGGCCATCGCTCTTCCTCTCGGTTGGGGTCAAAACCGACTAAATCGAACCGCGGTCACCCTAAATCTTAAACTAAACCGAACCGAGTATCATCCCATGAGGCCCAATTGAATTGCCGCGGTTTTGATGCATCGAATTTCCCACAACCAGCAACCGCCAACCAGAGAGGTGGCAGAGCAGAACTTCTTAGAGCGAGTTTTCGTAAGGTATGATTTTCTCACACACATTAGAATTTGAACATCATTGGGATTTGTTATTGCAACTGATTGATCGTGGTGAAATTCTAATGTAAATTTGTTTAAGAAGGAAAGGGAAGGGAGGTCGAGCTTGTGTGGTTGTTCTTGGTGATCTTGGTCGAAGTCCTCGTATGCAGTATCAAGCTCTTTCTCTCTCCCGCCAGGTACCGTTTCCTCAACTGCGTCTTGATTGGTGTGTATTATGTGGTTTCTTTGATTTCTATAGAGAACTTGCCAAAATTCCTATAGCGACTTGAGTAGTGATGTACAAAATTCCTTCAAAATCTGCCATGGATTTTCCGTCCTGTAACACTACTACTCAATTCGCTCGTTCAGTTTCTTATGCTTCTTTGGTTCCTTATAGTTAGAATTCATCCGCCTGCCTTCTTCGTTGGGCAGGTAAATAAATGGTTGAAAATTATGATGAATCCAACTTCTTGATTACGTCATATTTAAACAAATGACAAATGATATAATTTTTTCTGGTTTCTGGGCATTGAGAGTGTTTCTTGATGGTAAAAGCATATGATTGTGCATATGAATAAGCCATTCATAAAATGATATTTGTTTCCTTTCCTCTTCTTAACCCTAGCATAAATTGCCTCAAGATGTATTAAAGTAATGATTGTTGCTACAGGTCCAAAATATTGTCTGAGTTCATTTGCCTGCAAATAAGCAGATTATTATTTATCTGGTTTCCTCTTTTAGACTCTCAAACAGGGCCTTGACTAACTGTGTTGGCTAGGATGTACAATCATATTTTACCAGTTTTTCTGTATGTTTCAAAAGTTGTACTTCAGGGATGCAATGTTTGGTGCATGTACTTAAGAATAAGAATTGGTTTGCCCACTCCTCCCTTCCTCTCCCCCCACCTGTGGGGCGCATGTAACGTGACGATTTTTAAATTAACAGTCTACCGTTTGGCCTTTTTCCTGTAACTAGCTAATGTTGATGATTGTTGGGGAGAAGTCCCACATCGGCTAATCAAGGGGCTGATCATGAGTTTATAAGTAAGGATTCCTTCTCCATTGGTATGAGGCTTTTTGGGGAAACCAAAAGCAAAGCCATGAGAGCTTATGCTCAAAGTGGACAATATCATATCATTGTGTAGGGTCGTCAGAGCCCTACCTTTAACTTAGCCATGTCAATAGATTCTTTAAATGTCGAACAAAGAAGCTGAGAACCTCAAATTTGTAGTAAAAAGTGACTCAAGTATCAAACAAAAGGTGTACTTTGTTCGAGGGCTCCAAAGAGGAGTCGAGCCTCGATTAAGGGGAGGCTATTTGAGAGCTCTATAGTCCTCAAGGGAGGTTATTCGAGAGCTTCTTAGCCCTTAAGGGAGGCTCTATGATGTACTTTGTTCAAGGGGAGGATTGTTGGGAGAGAAGTCTCACATCGGCTTAGCCCTTAAGGGAGGCTCTATGATGTACTTTGTTCAAGGGGAGGATTGTTGGGGGAGAAGTCTCACATCGGCTAATTAAGGGGTTTATCATAGGTTTATAAATAAGGAATGTTAGGATCGCTTAACAACGCACACACTTGATCTAGATGAACACAAAAAATAGGATAGAGAAAATGCAAGGAGAATATTGGCTAAAAATTTATATTGATGACTTCAGGTATGTATGAGGTATGTAGAGTAAGAGAGAGTATGAACACAAAGAATAGGATAGAGAAAAGGCTAAAAGTTTATATTGATGACTTCAGGTATGTATGAGGTATGTAGAGTAAGAGAGAGTATGAACACAAAGAATAGGATAGAGAAAATGCAAGGAGAATATTGGCTAAAAGTTTATATTGATGACTTCAGGTATGTATGAGATATGTAGAGTAAGAGAGAATACAGAACACAAAGAATATGATAGAGAAAATGCAAGGAGAATATTGGCTAAAAGTTTATATTGATGACTTCATGTATGTATGAGGTATGTAGAGTAAGAGAGAATATGAACACAAAGAATAAGATAGAGAAAATGCAAGGAGAATATTGGCTAAAAGTTTATATTGATGACTTCAGGTATGTATGAGGTATGTAGAGTAAGAGAGAATACAGAAGTACATTTTCAAAGTTCTGCCTGATGGGATATATATATATAGTTCAGCTTATTATATATAGCTTTACCAGATATAACTATCTACCATATATAGCTTATCGTATATAGCTATTTACTATACATAGCTATTTACTATTTATGACAATTTACTTTATATGTCATTTACCATATATAGTTTTACTATGTATAATCGTTGACTAATCTATAAATAAGCGCTTCATAACCTAACAATTCTCCCACTTGGAGACTAGTCCAGTCAACCAAGAATTTCCTTCTCAAACAATCATGAGCATCTTCACTGCACTATACCAATTGAGGTTTTGCACAACCTCAATATTCCAACATCAACACATATTGTCAACATGTTTGCTGGATTTTTTACACCCTCTATCTTCTCCAAACACATCACTATCTTCCACTCACCTGAAATAGTATCGTCTTCTGTGTTTTGTCTTTAAATGATAGACCAGGTTTCTCACCAAATTTATGACACTTTGACTATCTCTATAAAGAATCTTTTCATGCTACTTCTTGCCCAATTCTTCCAGATAGTCAGTCATTCACATCGTCTTCTTTTCAGCTTCACTTATTGTCACGTACTCAGCCTTAGTACAACGTATTTTTGAAGCCTAGACATCCCATCATTCATGACTTGCTCCCACTTGGTTGTATCCTTCAACTGTAGGGCCTCATCAAAGGGCTCGGTTCCCTTTCATCAGCAACAAATAGTGTAATGAAGGTACATACATAGCTGGTTCATCTGCAACAGTCTCAGGAGTTTCTCGAGTATCTGTTACAACATCACGAGGTGATTTTTTTCGCAACTCAACTTCAACTCCCACTTGCTTCGTTGTCTTGGAACCTTTCTCCATATCTGGTTTCTCAGCAGTAGTCTCAGGAGTTTCATGAGTATCTGCTACAATATCATTAGGTGAGTTTCCCTACAACTCAAGCTCAACTCTCACTTGCTTCGTGGTCTTGGAACCTTGCTCTACATCTATATGGACCATTTCCAATTGCACTTTCTTCAATTCTTTGGTAGTCCTCGTGAAGCTAACTAGTTTATACTTGTTCACAACGCAGTTCTCACAAGGACCCATATCAACAAATTTTAGACCTTCTAAAACTCCTTTCACAGCAATCATCTTCATTCCTTTCACGCTCATATGTCCAAATCTATTGTGTCATAAACTTGAATTTGGAGCACTCTCAGCAACAACAGCTATGTTCATACACCCTACAGTGGTGTATAAGGTTCCAAATTTTGTGCCACGTGCTACCACCATAGCACCCTTCATAATCTTCCACGAACTCTTCCCTAACTTTGTTGCATAACCTGTGTTGTCCAACTGACCAATAGAGATCCGGTTCTTCTTAAGACCAGGAATATATCTGACATTCTTTAATGTCCACAAATTTTCTGTTGGAGTTTTTATGCAGACATCCCCTTTTCCTTTAATCTCCAAATCTTTGTTGTCGGCAAGATACACTTTCTTGAAATTTCCAGACTTGAAATTTCAAAACAATTCTTTATTTGGAGACGAATGAAAAGATGTACCTGAATCTAAAATCCAGGATTCAATTGTACTGTCCACACTGAGGACTAGAACATCTCCAATATCTTCTGCTGAATTTATGGAATCATCATCTCCAGATTTGTGATTCTGCTTCCTCTTTGGTCTTATACAATCTGTTCGGAAGTGACATTTTTCTCCACAATTCCAACACTTTACTTTTGGTCTATTTGGAGATTTTTCTTGGTTCTTTGATTTTGATCGCCCTTTGTTTGGGCCCTTCGATTTACTTCTTCCCTGTTGGTCAACACTGAGAGCACTACCAGATGAATTTTCAATTTCTCGTTTGCGAATACTTTCGTTGAGAACTACATCTCGAATTTCATCAAACTTCAGTTTATCATATCCTCGGGAACTGCTGATTACGGAAACAACAGTATCTCACGACTCGGGTAAAGATGACATCAAAATCAATGCTTTAATTTCATCTTTGAAATTAATTTCCACCAAACTCAGTTGACTTACGATCATATTGAATTCATTTATATGATCAACAATAAATCCACCTTCAGACATCTGTTTGAACAATCTTCGCATCAAATACATCTTGTTCATAGCTGGTGCCTTCAACAGATCTGACGTTGTCTTCTCCTTGATGATGTTGAACGCCACGGTTCTGGATAGCGTCAACCGGATCAGCCCTAAGGCTTGTCGATCCTTGAGCTCCCACTGTTCTGTGGTCATGGTATCCATCTTCACCCCCAACAGGGGTTCGTGAAGACCTTTCTGATACAGATAATCTTCAATCTGCATTTTCCAGAAACCGAAATCAGATCCATCGAACTTCTCAATTCCAATATTTGAACTTTCCATCTTCAGAGATCGTGGTGAATTTCGCCTAGCTCTGATACCAGTTGTTAGGATCGCTTAGCAACGCACACACTCGATATAGATGAATAAAAAAAAAACAGGATAGAGAAAATGCAAAAAGAATATTGGCTAAAGGTTTATATTGATGACTTCAGGTATGTATAGTAAGAGAGAATACAGAGTATACAGAAAGTACTATCTACTATATATAACTATCTACCATATATAGTTTTAGACTTTTTACTATACATAGTTATTTACTATTTATGACAATTTACTTTATGTCATTTACCATATATAGCTTTACTATGTATAACCATTGACTAAGCTATAAATAAGCATCAGGCTTCATAACCTAACAAGGAATATTGGTATGAGGCCTTTTGGTTTGTGGAGATTCGTGTTCAATAACATGGTATCAGAGCCATGCCCTTAAATTAGCCATGTCAATAGAATCCTCAAATGTCGAATAAAGAAGTGGAGGATCTCAAAAGTGTAGTCAAAAGTGACTCAAGTGTTGAACAAAGGGTGTACTTTGTTCGAGGGCTCCAGAGAAGGAGTCGAGTCTCGATTAAGGGAGACTATTTGAGGGCTCCATAGGTCTCAAGGGAGGCTCTATAGTGTACTTTTTTCGGGGAGAAGATTGTTGAGGATTGTTGGGAGAGGAGTCCTACATCGGCTAATTAAGGGGTTGATCATGAGTTTATAAGTAGGGAATAATTCTCCATTGGTATGAGGCTTTTGGGGGAAACCAAAAGCAAAGCCATGAGAGCTTATGCTCAAAGTGGACAATATCATACTATTGTAGAGATTCGTGTTCAATAACAGCTAATCTTCATTATCTTGAAATTTTCACTCATTCGAGTGTTGGGGAAATACATTTATGTTAGCATCTGCTTTTCCATTGTATTTTTGAGATTTGCTGCTTATTTCCAATTTTTACTATAACCCTTTACGAGTTTTCTTCCGCAGAATCCCCCTTCTGTTCCAACGTTAATTGCTGTAAAATGGGATAGCGTACTAAAGCGATCTGCATATATCATTGATTGGCATAATTTGGGTCATACTCTGCTTACCCTTTCCCTAGGAAGAAATAGCAATTTTGTTGCTGCATACCGCTGGTACTGAATATGATTTTCCCACTCTTTTTGTCCATTCCGTATGTGGTTGGCTGATCTATCGTTGGCTAAAGTACAATGTGATTTGAGTCTAGAATTGAAAAGCATTTTGGGAAGATGGCAGATGGCTCCTTTTGTGTCACGAAGGCAATGCAACATGAGTTGGCTGAAAACTGGGATATCAAGTAAGAGGATGAGGCTGATGGGTGGATTTATTTCCTTCTTTTTTATGTTTTCCTTTTTTATATGCAGAGCCACAGTTTTTCCACATTGCTTCACTCCAAGAAAAATGAGAAAAATGAGGTGAGTTATTGTAACAACCCAAACCCATCGCTAGCCGATATTGTCCTCTTTGAGTTTTTCCTTTCGGGATTCTCCTCAATGTTTTTAAAACACGTCAGCTAGGTAGAGGTTTCTACACCCTTATAAAGAATGTTCTCCTCTCCAATCGACGTGGGATTGGTTGCCTTTTTTTTTTTTTTTTCATTCTTTGTTCATTTTAGTTGTTTTATAGGCTGCATAATGATATAATTCCAAGTCTCATGGTCTTCAAGGTTGTGTTAGCTATGGTAAGATCTACATTTCAATAAATTTACTGTAGTTTTAGGAGAAAGTATTTTCTTATTTATCAAAAGACTCAATAATGGGTAGGTAGAGTGCACGATAAATTTCAATAATAGGTATTTCTTCATATCTAGCGAACATTCTCAGTTCAACATATTTATTAGCAGGTGCGGGAATGGTAGGCCATGAGCAGCAGTAGACGTTGTTAACAAGCCTGGTTGGCAAGGATATTTTGTTGAAGCAAAACAGATATGCAGTTGTTGTGAGCAGCACAAGCTGGTTAGGTTTTACGTTTGACCTAATTTACTAATGCTTCTTGAAGAATTGATATTTTCCATTTCTTTTTCTTGGGGATGTTCTATGTTTGTGCTTTCAATACTTTTTCTGTGTGTTTTTTTGGTCATTTGATTGTTAACGTGAGTATGATACTTTGTACTGTAACTTGTCAGGATATTAATATCTACAGAAAATTCTTTAGGCAGCCATTTAGTTGTAGATAATAATGGCATGGGTTAGCTATAAAATTAACATCTAAATGCTTATATTTGGTATGCACATTGGTTGCATTCCCAAGCATGGCATCCACGGATGTTTGGCTTTGCATGAACTGAAGTGTTCACCCAAATTATTAGGTTTCAGGATTCTCGTCCTATAGGATCCCGTATTGATACACTACAGTGTTTTAAATCAAAGTTAATCACATGTTCATGTTGAGTATATTTTGTTTGAAAGATAATGGCATTTCCGACTTGGAAGGGAAGCACTTTGAGATAGGTTTGAACCTTGGTAAGGAAGATAATTCAAACAGACCTCCAAGAGGCAAAAGATGAATATTTCTAATAGTAACATTTTACAATTAAAAAGGTTGAGACTTGTAAATTTCATTCTGAAAGCACAATGTGTTGACTTCCTGTTTTGCATCTTCAAACTCTTGTAATGTCTTTTTCAGGGCTCCAGATGAAGATTTTAGTATCCTTTAAGAATCTCCAGTCTAAGTATGACAGGCGTGTTGCTGCAATGCTTAATGAGGATGATTCAATTTGTGATAAATTTATCTGGAGTGAAATCTATGATAGGAAAGAAATATTTATATCCTAGGTTACCGTTCATAATTACTTTTTGTTGAGAATTATTGGGACTAATAAGAGAGATGATCATGAATTTATAAGTAAGGAATACAACTCTATTGGCATAGACATTTTGGGAAACCAAAAACAAAACCATGAGAGCTTAGCTCAAAGTGGACAATATCATTGGTGGAGATGGAGATATGTTACTAACACTTTTCCCTAACTCTCCTTCTGCTTGGACCTATCTAAATTAGAGACCTTCCTCTGTTTATAAAAGGTAAAGGGCCCAACAAAAAAAAAAGTATGAAGATAAGATCAGTACATTACACCTTAAGCGTGTGGCATTTCGTACAATGCGACTGTCTGCAGAGGATTACCCATTACTTCTCGGTAGTTTGTACAGCCTAAGGGTTTCCCCCCTCCTCATTTTATCTTTTGCTGACGAAGATTAATAACAATATGCATGTGTATATCATATTTGCTCAGGATCAGCAGATCTAGGCGTTTGTTTGCATATTTCTTCATCAGGCTTGGATCTTCCAATGAAGGTATGCAATAGTTCTTTAAGGGATGCTATTAAATTGAGAATCAAAGGACGCTATTTAACCATCAACATTTGCTTCCATGAATTGCTATATTTCCATCTTTGAAATTTATAAAAACTACGATCACATATTGTATTATATTTGATGGAATGAAAAATTACATATCTGATGATGAAAACAGATTTATGATAATTCAGACAATTCCGATTATATGCGCATCCACCAAAAAAAAAAAAAGAAAGAGAAACCAACAAAAATGCTTCATATTCAGAACATTGACCCACAAAACATATTTCAATAACAAAAGTACCTGAGTAGTCCATACAAACACGCAAAACGAAAAATAAAAACAGTCGAAAAAGAAAAAGAAAAAAACATCTCCAAAAAGATGGGCTTTCGTCCTATACGATGATAAGATAAAAATAGGGAACTAATTAGAGAACCTCTCCGCCTGCGGATTCATAAGGTTGTGTTGAAAATTCAACCAAACGAGTGATGATTTAAAGCTTGTCTTCGAACTCCGACAATGGAGTCATCTGCTCCTTCAATCCCTTCCTCTTACGGATATCAGCAACCAACTGCGCAGCTTGGGAGCCACTTTCTAATGGATCTGAGGACATCATGTCCCAATGGTCAAACACACACTGAGGGAAAGCCTGGCCAGAAGTTGCAGCTCTCAGAGTGCTCGAGAATCCGAACGACTCAATGACAGGGAGATATGCCTTGATGTTGTAGAGAGGGGTACCGGGCCTCTGCATTTCCTCGAACACATGTCCACGCTTCTGGTTAAGAACACTGTAAATACCTCCCAAAGCTTGCTCCGGGGCCTGAATTTCCACCAGGTACACTGGCTCAAGAAGTCTGGGTTTGGCTGTCAACTGAGATGCGTAAATTACCCTCCTAGCTGTGGGAATAACTTGACCACCTCCTCTGTGGATGGCATCAGCATGAAGAACCACATCACACACTTCAAAACAGATGCCTCTCATGTTTTCTTCAGACAACGCACCTTCTTTAGACGCCCATTGGAAACCTGCCACCACGGAGTCCTTGATTTCATTCAGGTATTGAACTCCCTTACACATATCAACCACCATGTTGGGGCCAGTAGTCTCAGGACCAAAGCACCAAATCTTCTTCGCGAGATCCTTGTCCCAACCAAACTCCTCCGCCAAAATTTTAGACCGAATTTTAGGATCATCTCGTGGGCCTATGCGACCATCGTCAATAGCCTCTGCCAGTCCTTCCTCCATGGGTCGTGCTTCCATGTATAGACGATTGTGTTTGTTGGGGGATTTGCTCATCACTGTGCGGCATGACCTCTCAAGGACAGTTTCACGGAAAGAGACAACAGGGTCAGATTTTATGATCTCAGCTCCACCCATGAAGTCGTCTTGCAAATCCTTCAGACAGATCTCAAGATGCAGCTCTCCAGCACCAGCAACAATGTGCTCACCAGATTCCTCCATGGAACACACGACCATAGGGTCTGACTTTGCCAGACGTTTAAGGCCTTCCACAAGCTTGGGAAGATCAGATGCCACCTTGCACTGAACAGCCACACGCACAACAGGAGATACAGAAAATTTCATGGCTCGAATTGGATGAGCATCTACTTCCTTCTCATTTGTCAGAGTAGCATTCTTGGTGATAAATTGATCCAACCCAACCATGGCAACCGTATTACCACAAGGCACATCCTCCACTGTTTCTTGCCTCTTTCCCATCCAAATGACAGTTCTCTGGACACTCTTCACATACAAGTCTTTCTTCTCTCCAGGGACATAGTTTGGACCCATGATTCTAACTTTCAAACCAGTTGAAACCTTCCCAGAGAAGACACGACCGAAGGCAAAGAACCTGCCCTTGTCCGATGCAGGAATCATCTTTGATACATAAAGCATAAGAGGTCCCTCGGGATCACAATTTCTGATGGCACTAGCATAAGCATCGTCTAGTGGACCTTCATACAAATTCTCAACACGATACTTTTGTGCCGTGGCCGGGGAAGGGAGATGAAAGATCATCATTTCCAAGAGAGCACTGCTTGCTGGTAGCCATGTTTGCATCACTCGCTTCATCAATGCTTTACCCATCAGATCCTTCTCTTCAGATTTCATGACAACTCCAAGCTTCTGCAACATAGGCCATAGCTTGTCCTTCTGGTCATTCATGCAAGTAGCAATAATCTGCTTGATAGGTTCATAGCAGAACTGAACAAATCCACGCTTGCATGTTGCAGATCCAGTGTTCTTGCTGGTCCATTTCTTGGTGGCAGGGTCGAAGAAGTTCTCGCCCCAAAGCCTCTCCATCATTTTTGACTCATCCACTCCAAATTTAGAGGCGTACATCTTTGCAAAGTTGGTCAGGGTGAAAGCCCAACCGTGCAAACCAGCAGAGAAAGCAACTGTTCCCTTCTCAGGGTACACTTGCACATCACCAAGAAGTGGATCCTCGTATGTAGCCATGATCACATTAGCATTCTCAATAACTCTCTGGAAGGTCTGGTAAGCCTCTTCGCCATCTACTTGAAGCTCAAGGAAGCACCTGTCCATCTTGTTAACAGTCAACACAGGTCGAATCCTCTCTCCCAACGCCTGACGAAGCACTGTCTCCGTTTGGACACAAACACCTTCAACACAATCCACCACCACAAGGGCACCATCGGTAATACGTAGAGCAGCTGTAACCTCAGACGAGAAGTCGACGTGCCCAGGCGAATCGATAAGATTGATAAGGTACTCATTTCCATTCCTCTCTCCCTTATAACTCTTCAATGATTCATCAGACATTTCGTAGTAGAGGGAGATTCCAGTCGACTTGATGGTGATACCCCGTTCTGCCTCATCTTGTCGGGTATCTGTCATCCGAACATCACCCGCAACTTCTTGAGCAATGATACCGGCAGCAGCCACAAGAGAATCTGTAAGAGTGGACTTCCCTGAAATGAAAAAAAGATGAATGTAAGATTAAGAAAATTATCATTTATAATACAGAATCGGCTCATGACAGCTTAATAAGATGAGATGAGTCCAGGGTTTAGACCGTACACCATGAAAACTTTAAGAAACAAAATATTTAAAATAATTAAAACAGAAGGTTTAAAAAACAATAGAAAGGACATAAAATGTTTTAAATAGGTTTCGAACGCACCCCAAAGTATCTTCTAAAAACAAAGGGTTGGTGGAAAAGCAACCTAGTAATGATCTAGATATAATCATGAGTAAACATGTCACTAAACACCCAGCAAAAAAATTCCATTACCAAGTTCACCATATCATATTAAAGCTCTGGCAAGAAAAACCAATAAATAAACATAACAAAAATGATTGCCAGAGAAGATAATTCCTGACGAATTCGATGTAAAGATAAATATAATACCATGATCGACATGAGCAATAACAGACATGTTACGAATGTTATGCTTGTAGTCCATAATCCTACGAAGCTCCTCGGCTGTAAACTTCACCTGTTGACCCAAAAACACAAAAAAAGTTAAATCGAGTCATAACCAAAATTACGAAGAGGAAAAGTAACAGGAAGGGAACTAACCATCTTGACAAGTCTTCAAATTTCACAACGTCCGAAAAATAAGATTGTTAGCTGTCAACGATAAGACGCAATGTTAAAAACGATCAGATCAATCGAACAATGAGTCAGATAGCATAATCACACCACACATAAATCTACGGATCATCTAGCTAGCTCGTCTGCTAAAATAACATTAAAATATACATCCCTAATCCAAACATCCAAACATCCAAACATAATCATCATTTCATAACATATCTTTGATTACAATCCGTGGTAAGTCTTTCAATAATTAAATTCATCAAACATTATAAACTTGGCAAACAGATCTTACAAGTGCCCACAAAAACAATCTCAGACGAAAGACGACAACAAAAGAAATCAAATCAAAGATGCGATGGAATAAGGTGCGAGATGAATTAGATGAAGAAGAAAAATACCTGAAAGAAATGGAGGGAGAGCAAACGAAAGCGCGCTCCCTTAAGCCTCCACAAACGTGTATAGGCACTGGGAAATGGAGAACTTTGCGAGGCCGAAGAAAATGAGGTGATAATGGGACATATATATATCGCTTCAGTACAGAGTTTCCTTTTCCGACCTCTAGGGTTTGCTATTTGGGCTGGGCCTGGTGGATGTGCCTGGCCCATTTAGATCATGATTTGGGCTGAAATTTCCATTTTTAACCCTTGTTCACACCTGTTATTTCAGTTTTGCCCTACTTCGCTGGTAATTTGTTTTTAAATAGGTTAGAATTATAAATTTTGTTAATTATGCTATTATTCTTTGAATTTACCCTATTTAAATAATAACTATGCAAACCGAATATTCTTACTATAAATATATCTTCAACCCATATTTAAAAAAATTATATATATTTTCTAAATAATAATAAACAACGATGTAAATATTATTACTTTTTAAAAGCAAACTTACTCATTACCATATGAAAAGAACATTGTGATATAAGGAAATACAGTTCAAAATTTTCAGAATAGTCTTTAATTAATTCTAAAATAAAAACTTGGCCTAACCATTGATAGCTGTGAATCCATCTTTAACGCATTCAAACAAAAATATATATATATATATATATATATATATATATATATATATATATATATGTGTGTGTAAAAGACCAAGAACCAATATCTGGTACAATACAGGCTTCTCAGCCTCGTTCTCCTAAAAACTGCAACATTTGTTATACAACAACGCCTGATCTTTCTTTTCCAGTTTCAAATGAATGGAAGGGAAGGGGAACAGACTGTAAGCTCCTGTAACACCCCTATCAAACAAGAACAGGCTTACTTGGCCTTCTTGAGAAGATTGGAGGTCTGAAACTCAGCATCATCTCTGATGAAACTCCACCACACACAGGTCAGAGGGATGGTTGTGGCGTGCCACAGAGCATGAGCATCTACGAGCCCTTCATATGGTGGAAAATCATAGATTTCCAGTAGTAATGCTAGCCCACCGCCCACAACCACCATCCACACTTTCCACCGGGAAGGATGGTGGGTGACACCGGCCCAGATTGCCCAGATCAGAAGTTGAGACAACCCCATGGTAACACAGACAATCATGTTCCACCCTACAGAATGTCACAAGTTTTTGGTTAATTCTCATGACCCAGATATTAAACTCATATTCAGCCTTTGATTTCCACCTTCACAACTCTGCCCTTACTTACAAACCATACTCATCCCACATTGATCGGAGAGGAGAACGAAACGTTGCTCATAAGAGTGTGGAAACCTCTCCCTAGTAGACGCACACATGGCTTGCATGAAGAAAAAAGGATGTGGTAAACTTGATAAACTAACTAGAGAGTATGAGAAATTGTATTATAACATTGCTTGTAACCGCTCAAGCCCACCACTAACAAATATTGTTTGATTTGGCCCGTTACGTATCGCCGTTAGCTTCACGGTTTTTAAAACGCGTCTGTTAGGGAGAGGTTTCCACACCCTTACGAGGAATGCTTCGTTTCCCTCTTTAACCGATGTGGGATCTCACAATCCACCATCTTTAGGAGCCCAACGTCCTCATACTATTTGTAGCACCCCAAGCCCACCACTAACAGATATTGTCGGATTTAGCCCGTTTACGTATCGCCGTCAGCCTACGGGTTTTAAAACGTGTCTACTAGGGAGAAGTTTCCACACCCTAAAAATGAATGTTTTGTTCCCCTCTCTAACCGATGTGGGATCTCACATTGCTATATTGGTTCGATATCTCGGAGCCTAGCAGTGCAGTAAGGGGTAAAAAAAGAGTAACAATTACCATAATCAAGTTCGTAAAAGTTGATGTATAAGATATGCGTAAGTGCAAAAGCAAGCAAAGGAGCTGCAACCATGACTCTGGTAGCCTCATGCCTCGCATTGAAACTTCTTAGAATTGCTAGAATGAGTGAAAACCCAAGTAATGCCACAGCAGATGAGTAATCTAATTTCTCTGTCAGAACCACATCACTGCACTTCAATGGCATGTAATAACAATCAGGGCGTGCTATAAAGATATAAACAGGTGATTTGCAACAATTGATGAAGACAGAATTCGAAGGCTCACCGACTGTGGAAAACAGCACTCCAAAACCAAGAGTTGATTGCAAAGAGTGCATAAATGTGCCACAAACTGGCAAATTCATAATGTGCCTTCCTGTCTTGTCTCAAAGGTAACTTATAATATAGAAGGATAAAAAAGGACAGCCAGCCATGAAAATGCATTGAAAGGTTCAGAGCAGAGAATGCTACAGAAACGGGTTCCTGTGCAAATAATGCACAAACAATACTCATAAATATGAACAGGTATCATTTCAATCCCAAATTCATACTCAGCAATTTGATAAAACAAACCTGGATTCCATATATACGCTTGAAGGGCCATTTGCCATGATATTTAACAGGATGATAGCCAAGTGCTTCTCTTTCGCCCTCTCGTTTGACCATGCAATGGTAACGGCAATCACTTTGGCAGTCCCATTGCTTCCACCTTATGTAAAGTGGTTCTTGCATATACCATGGCTGATCAACAGAAACGCCATCTGAAGAGAATTTGCACTGAGGAAAGCATTGCTGATCAATGCATCCTGTTTCTTCACAGTGTTTTATGCAAGTCCTGCAAGTGAATACAAAATTGAATGAATCACTGAAATAATGAAAGAGTTACTATCCATGAATATAAACAAAGATGAGCGAGATTAAGATGAGCGAGATTTTAGGAACAAACAATCACAAAAACTGATACATCTAACCTCTATGCACAAGAATGCACTAAAAGAAACCTTGGATCCACAAAAATTAGCCACTGCATTGATAAGATTGAATACCAAGTCCATGGAACACTACAGAATCTTTGCAGATGAAGAGATGTCAAAGGAGCTGCTTACTTCTCAAAAAGATCCTCCTATGTCTGTATAAACGCTGGTTTATCAAGAAAAGCACTTCGGATTGTTGATTCATCGCCATAGATGGCTTAGAATCAATAGTTCATTATCTAATGGATTTTTTCATACTAATATTCCACCGAATGTTATCGGTATTTATCAAATCTGTTTCTATCTAATGGAACACTATTGAATCAAATGACAAAAACATTGTTGAGAAAAAAATGGCTTTTTCCGGATGAAATGAAAATTGGATTCATGTAATAAGAGAAAGGTTTCCCATTCCTTAGCCGGAAAAATATGTGGCCATGAAATAGGGATTAAGTGGAACAAAATTGACTAGGAATTTCTTCCATATTTTGGACCATGACCGGTTGTTTTACGTATATTGTAAAATGCAGTATGCGACGAAATGATGAAAAGGGCTATATTTGCTCAAGAATTGGGAGTTCCTATCGTAATACATGACTACTTAACAAATGGATTCACGGAAAATACTAGCTTGACTCAATATTGCCGAGATAATGGTCTATTTCTTCCTGACTCAGATATTACCTTCCATTAGCCAGTCCCTTAACAAACAAAACTAGAAAAAAAAAAAGGTACTATAAAAACTCTATGACATTAGCTTAGCATCATTTAAATTTCTTTACACAACCAGAATTAAAACAGGAGTAGGCAACATGAATGGTGATATCACTGAATGCAAAAGGAATACCGAGATTACAATTGGAGGGAAAAAACTGGGTATTCATAAAACCAAGGGAACTATATCATATGTATTTTGGACTATTGATGTAACAGCTCAAAATCCACCGCCACTAGCATCTGCTAGGGAGAGGTTTCCATACTCTTATAAGGAATGTTTCGTTCTCCTCTCCACCCCCCTTGGAGGCCTGCGTTATCTCTGGTACGCCGCCCGATGTCTGACTTTGATACCATTTGTAACAGCCTAAGCCCATAGCTAGCAAATATTGTCCTTTTTGAGCTTTCCCTTTCGAACTACCTTTCAAGGTTTAAAGTTTATCTACTAGGGAGAGGTTTCCACACCCTTATAAAGGATGTTTCGTTCTCTTCTCAAATCGATGGGATTTCACAATTGAGGTCTCCAGTCTTCACTAATTGAATAAATCTGAAGAATATGCAAAGAAAATTAAGACAAAAGTGGTACCTGTATTGTAGGTCAATATCGCCAGCACTAGCGTTCAAGCCAATCACGAACCATGCCAACACCCCTAGCAAGACACACCAAGAGAACTCCTTCATCTGTCCAGAAATTGATCAGATATTAGAGACATCCAAATGGCTTCCAGAATTAAGCCCCGACAAGAACCACGACATTTAGGAAAGAACCCATTGATAGACACAGTGGGCATCAATTCTTTTCAGCACTACCCACTTCCACATCGGCACGTTAGGAAGCGAAAGATCTGCAACACTCCAAAGCTTATTTGAGCCCCAAAGTAACAGAAAATGAAAACAACAAATGAATATAATTAAGAACAAAAAGAAACGAGCTGATGCCATAAAAGATCGTTCGAGAAATCCTAGAAGAAGCACAATCATTCATACAGATCAAGTCCTACGCACGGGTCAATTTCCAATCAAATCTAACCCAGAAATTCATCAATCAATCACCATATGAGTTCAACATGGATCAATGTAAAAGTCAGCTCGGAAAGTGGCAGATTAGATGAATCGAGTGAATCAGATTTCAAACAGAAACCCCCCCAAGGAAGTGGGAAATAAGCCATCATACCTTATCGGCAACCGAGAGGGGAAATCAGGCGTTTCGGCTGAAGACTGAAGCTCCAACAATGGCGAAAACACTCGGGAATATCAATCTTTCTCTTCCCATTTGTTTATTCATTAAAAAAAATAATAATAAATAATCGTCTCCAATTTACTGATAATCTTAGTATATTAATATCTCTATAAAATACATTTCAAATCTAAATTATAATAATAATATAAAATTGAATTAAAAAAATCAATTGGGTAAAATGAAATTTCCATTGAAATAAAAATAGGCTAAAAGTTGAATTACAATGGGTTGGCTTTACATTTTCATATTATAAACACTAAACTGAACTTAAAATTCATATTCATGAATCAAGATCAGATTCCAAAATTGATTTCAGCTCTTCCCATTTCTCATATCCAAACAAATCAGTGGCATCCTCATCAAAATCCGAGAAGCTCGACGACGGCGATACGTTTGCCAACGAATTACGCTTGCCCGACGGCTGCTGTTCACTCCGGCTGCAAAAATTCCTCATGGATTGGCCGCCGTGCGTCATCTGACTCTGATCGGAAAAACTGATAAACGAATAGTCAGAGGAAAAACTTATGTAGCTACTCTGTTCATTGGCGTCGGAATATCTATTGCTCGTTGCTCTAATGTTCATATTTTCCAGAGCTCTGTTTTTGGCCGCCGGAACCTCCCTCCAGTTCGGTGCAGTGGGTTTTCTGGTCGAGATATTCCGTTTGAATATACGACACAAAGTCCAAATTTCCTGGGAAAATCAGAGGAAAGAATAAGTTTTGAGTGATACCCATTTTTTAATTTCGTCAATTTTACAAGCTTTACAAATTGATTCATATGTTTAATGCTTACAGCTTCATCGAGGCTGGCAGAGGAAGAAGAAGAAGAAGAGGAAGAAGAAGGAGAAGGGAGACGAAATTCATTCATCATCCACTGCGTTTTAGTGGCTTTACCGGCGCTTCCACGGTAATAAACAAGCGTCTTCTTCAACCCAACAAGAACAGAGAGATCATGATAAATGGGCTTATCAATTCCAGTGGCTTTCCAAAACCCAGATCCCGTTACCCTGTTTGGCCTCGCACTGTTCTTATACTTCCTCCCACGTTTGCAGAAAAAGTACCATTCTTTCTCCCCCAATGCATTACGAGGAAGATCCCAGGGGCTGTGTTTATAGATGTCGATTTGTTTGATGAGTTCGAGGGGAAGGGGGTTGTTGTGGACCTTGCGGCGGAGGTAGAAGCTCACGAGCTCTTCATCAGTCGGGTGAAATCGGAACCCTGGAAGATGGGATTGGGAGTTGTCGTCGTCGTCATCGTTCATGGCTATGTCGGGGAACTGTGAGGGACTGCCCGCCATTGTTGTTACTGGGCTCGAGGCTGGAGGAGAATTGGGGGAAGGTCTTTTTTTTTGTTTGCTATATTATAGGGAGAGGCCTTTGAATATTGAAGGTCAAGTCTTAGGCCTCTGATTGCTCAAAGAGTGTGTGGGAGAGATAGAAGAAGGTTTGACCTTGTTTTTCTTTCATCGCCCAAGACTTAGTTTTTTTGGAAAAAAAAAAAAAAAAAAAAAACTCTAATATTATAAGGAATAAGGAATATTTAGTTACCCGTGACATCTAACAATTCACTAACAAACCACTTTCTTAGAAGTTTACGTCCCTAGCACACCAACAAATGTCTTACTCTTATACAATTTGTAACAATTATTTATGCCTACTATTAGTAGTTATTGTCTGCTTTGTCATATTAGTCATTGGCCTCAGGGCTTTAGAACCCATGTTCTAAGGAAACAGTCTTATAGGGAGAGATTTCTACTCATCCTAAGAATATGAAGGGAAGGTTAATTAAAATTTAAGTTATTTTATTTATTATTGTTTAAATATTTTGAAGACAGCCTTATTACTAAAACTACATTAAAAAAATATAAAAAAGAGAAAAAAATCTAGAAATTATTGAAGAGTTAAAATTTAAGTTTTCAAAGTCAAAAATAATGTGCTTCCTCCTCACAAATAAGTGTGATTTTCAAAGTGGAATCCCTTGATGGCTTGGGTATTGTATTACTCATCAAAAGTCAAACAAATTATTTTTATAATTTCAAACTTAATATAAAAATCATCGAGAAATAAATACACGGATAAAACATGTTAAGAATGAGAAATAGAAAGAGAATTGGAATCCGAGGTATTGTATTCTAGTTGATATTCATAAGCTTAAATAGGATACAAGCTAGCAATTAATGCGTACAAATGAGAAAAATAAAATAAAATATACGATAAATCAAAGGATAAATAAAGAATATCAAGATATAATATCTAAGATATATTCAATAAATAATATATACTCTTGGATTGAATATACGGGTCCTTTAAAAATTCTTCTAGTTTCAGCCGATTGTACGGTTTGTTCTTCATTTGTTTAAAGAAAATTGTTTTAACGGTCGTATCAATTTTACCCAGCTATTTGGTACATGCGGAGGATTGGGATTGGTTATTATAGCAAAATTGAAATAGAAACATATTTAATTGTATTGTTTACATTTTTTTTGATTTCCATGTTTTTCAAATAAGTGATAATAATAAATTAATTAATAAGTGACATAGAGAAATTTGATGTTGCCAAGTCAAAGAATATCAAACACATTGACGTGACCACGTTTAAAGTTGGTTTGAATTTATTATAAAAAATAAATATACATTAATATTTTGAGTGGCATTTATAAGTTTTGACCATCCCTATATTAAAGTCATAAAGTCTCCAAAATGTCACATTTTTTTTTAAATTTCATTAGGAATTGACAGGACACCTTTAAATAAAGCTTCCTCATTTAAGTGTAATAGAATTTAATATATATATATATATATATACTTATATTTATATAATCATAGGTGCTTAATACTAAAAAAAAAATTATTATCATTAATTCGAAAGAAAATGGTTAATAATCCATTTTAAAAATATGATTAAATTTTTAAGCGTATTTAAAAAATATCTTTGAAATTTTAAAAATTTCATGTTTAAAATTTTATTAATATGTTTAGAAAATATTCAATAAATTTTAAGAGTAGGGTTAAAAAAATTCAATATATGAGACAAATCATCTCAATTATCTATAAATAATTATCTATAAAAGTTTTGTTATTACTTTAGAGGGTTTAGGAGGATTATTTGTTTATTTTTTTAAATATTTAAGGATGTTAATAAAAAAAAAAATTTAAAATTTAAAAATATTTGTAAGAATTTACCAATACTTTAAATATTTAAAATATGTATTAGACTTTGACTAAATTAAAATTAAGAGAATTAATTAAAAGGATTTTAATGGAAACAGTTAAAAGGATTAGGAATTTAAAAAAAAAAACACATTTATATGTTTGCTTTTGTTTTTGTTTTTATATTTAAATATTTATTAGACTTTGGATAAATTGAAATTAAAATTAAGAGGATTTTAATGGAAACGTTTAAATGGATTAGGAAAAAAAAGGAAAAAAAAAACACATTTATATTTTTGCTTTTGTTTTTCTTTTTAATTAATTAATTATTATTTTTTTTTTGAAATATGAGATATCATATACAACCTCTCTAATCCTTAATATTTGAACAAGACTAAGATATAATTTTTTTAAAACCAAAAAGAAACCTATGACAAAGGGCATTGGAAAGTCAACGTGTACTATCAAAATCCAAATTTGTCTCTGGTCAAAATTTCCTTGGTCATAAGTTTGTCTCTATATTTCATCGAGAAGGGCGTTCGGGAGGCTTCCAAACCCTGTTGTGGGCTTGGAAATCGTCGGTATTCTCAATTGATGTACTCCGAAAGCTCTACCATCTATTAGAATAATTGATTGAAAGAAGGCTTCTTTCCTGATTTGCCACTTTAGCCTAAAATAGAAGAAAGTTCTACTCGTCAATCAATCTCACTTACATAACTAATTCAAACCCTAATGGTTGACCATATTCAATAGTCAAACTCGCGAAATTCTTCTCTAATTAAAAAAAGACATGGTTTCAAAGCATGAGAATCTATTCAAAGCATGTGTTGTATGAACAAAAATATATATGGTTTAGGATGGGATGATAATAGATTATATGGATAATCACCCAAGTCGTAGAGATTTAGAATATTATATGGTAATTGGCCGGCAGGGTTTTGGGCTACATTGTTTTTCTAATCAAGCCAAAATCAGCCACTTTATGTCGGGAAGTTGTCTAAATTTACCAAACATACTCCAATAAACTAACATTTTATATAATTCAGGTACAACAATGTTGATGTCTTTGGGATGTTCTAAATTAGTCTTTCAATGTGTTTGTAGTGGCTATAATGAAACGGATGATCTTGAAACGAATACAACAAGAAATGTTTCGTCTCCCTCTTCCATCGACGTGAGATCTCCTAATCTACTCTCGTAGGAGCCTACGACCAATGTCTGGCTATGATATCATACGTAACTGTTCAAGCTCACGATTAGTCTCATAATTTTTAAAATAAGTATGTTAAAGAGATATCTATATTGTTATAAAAAATGCTTCATTCTAATGTGACTGATCCGAAAAACAGCAAAAAGAACAATAATCCGTGGTGTTAATTTACATCCCACTCAATACGAAGGGTTACTAAAAAAAGGATCAAAAGCCAAGTCCACGATGGATCTAAGTTCATCCCAGTCATCCTCATCGAACCCCGATGAAGCTGGAGACTGGTTTACAGACAAAGGAGGCGACACAGATATCACTTCAGCTGCTTCACTGTTCTTCTTCATCATCGTCGTCAGCTCCTCCCATTGTTTTCTTCCATCAGAAACCAAGAATGGCTTCTTCTCTTCAAACCCATTAAACGGGTTCGAGCTAAAACTTATGTAAGTTTCTCTTCCATCTCCATCATCATAAACTTGTTGATCCACTGTTTTGGTGGTCTTCCTTTCCCGGTTGCCCCCCGGAATTTCTTTCCAATTTGGTGTGTATCTTCTACACACGATATTCCGTTTGAATATCCGACATAGCGTCCAAATCTCCTGTAACGTTGAAACATAAAGAATCAGATTCATGAGAATCGTTGGGAGAAGAGTCCCGACTAATTAAGGGGTTGATCATAGTTTATAAATAAAGAATACATATTCATTGGTA